ATGCAAGTTCAACACTCAAACTGAAGGACACAACCACAAAAGACACTTCACTGCAACTGTCAGAGCAAAGCAGGAAACACTACGCGACATCACTGAAGAATCATGCGTGGAAGAACATTGGAAGTCTCTGAAGGCGATTCTCAACGAAACGTGTTCAACGGTTCTAGGAAGAAAGAAGAGACAAGACAAGGAATGGCTCTCAACGGACACTTGGAAATTAATAGAAGAGAGGAGAATGGTGAAAGAGAAAATGATTCAATGCAAGGACGGACAGGAGAAGGAGACGCTGAGCTCAACTTACAAGCACTGGACAAAGAAGTGAAGAAGAGTGCTAGGAAGGACAAAAGACGATTCTACGACAACCTGGCCACTGAAGCTGAGAAGGCAGCAGGCAAAAGGGACCTGAGGACACTATATCAGATAACCAAATCTCTATCCGGGAAGAGATCAACACAAGCGAAACCTATAAAAGACAGCCAAGGGAACCCAATTACCAAGGAAGAAAAACAGATTAAACAATGGGCGGATCACTTCAAAGGACTCTTGAACCGACCATCACCTGCAACCCGTCCAGAAATACCAACAACAGCGCGCACACAACTGCAAGTTGACACCAATCCTCCAACGAGAGCTGAAGTCTTGAATGCAATCAAGCTTCTGAAAGCTGGAAAAGCAGCCGGACCAGATGGAATACCCCCTGAAGCACTGAAAGCGGACCCAGAGACGACAGCAGACATGCTGACTCCATTATTGCAAAAGGTCTGGAAGGAGGGAAAGGTGCCTACTGACTGGAGGAAAGGTTACCTCGTGAAACTACCAAAGAAGGGCGACTTAGGCCTCACTCTGCAAGAACTGGCGAGGAATCATGCTCCTATCGACGCCAAGTAAAATCCTGAGTCGCATCATCCTGGAGAGATTAAAGGACGCACTGGAGACAGAACTCCGACCAGAACAAGCTGGATTCAGGAAAGGCAAATCATGTACTGACCAAATTGCAACTCTACGCATCATCATCACAGAACAAAGCATGGAATGGCAATCAAACCTCTACCTCAACTTTATAGACTTTGAGAAGGCCTTCGACAGCGTTGATCGTGAAGTAATTTGGAAATTACTCGAGTACTATGGCGTACCCCAAATATTCATCAACCTTATTCAACAGCTGTACGACAACGGCACATGTCAAGTGATCCACAACGGAAAACTCAGCGAGGCGTTTGGAGTAAACACAGGAGTCAGACAAGGGTGCTTATTATCACCAATGATATTCCTAATTGTGGTGGACTGGATTATGCGTCAGACAGTGGGAAACGAGAAGACAGGAATATCCTGGACCGACGTGAAGAACCTAGAAGACCTGGATTTCGCGCGTGGATGATTTATGTTTGATGTCACACAAAATCGAAGACTTACAAGCGAAAACCGACAAACTGGTCGAAGAAGCAGCCGGCGAAGACAGGACTCCAGGTGAACATAGACAAGACGGAGGTTATGAAAATAACCACCAACCAACAACAGCAACAACATCCAACGTCAATCACCATCAACGGGAGGGATTTGAAAGAGGTTACTTCATTCACTTATCTAGGGAGCATTGTCTCAACTACAGGAGGAACGGACGAGGATGTCAAATCGAGCGAGAATCGGGAAGGCGAGAAACACATTCATCAACCTGAAACCAATCTGGAAATCTTCGTCACTCAGCATCACCAACAAAATTCGGATTTTCAATACAAACGTCAAGTCAGTCAGTTCTTCTATACGGATCAGAAACTTGGTGGGGGTCACAAAGAATATTTCCAACAGCCTGTTGCAGACCTTTATCAACAACAACTGTCTTCGCTCTCTATACTGAAGATCAGATGGCCGGAAAGAATCACCAACAAGGATTTATGAGAACAAAAATACGGTGTGGAATCAAGCTGTAATCAAAAAAAAGAACCAATCGCCCAACAAATATGCAGGAGAAAGTGGAGATGGATCGGTCACTCGCTGAGGAGACCGCTGGGTGACATCGCGCGTCAAGCCCTCGAGTGGAACTCGAAAGGGAAGCGGCGTGTGGGACGTCCAAGGGTGACATGGAGGAGATCGTGTGAAGAGGAGTTGAAAGAATATGGAGTAACATGGATGCAGGTGAAAAGTACAGCAGAAGGAAGACAGAAGTGGCAAGTGGAGACGTGCAGTTGAAGCCCTATGTTCCACTAGGAACACAAGGGAATAATAATAATAATGAGGGCTTTATCCATGCGCTCGCGTGAACATGTAACCGTATGGTTGAGTAAAAGAGTAACCAAATGCGTAAATAGCGCAGTCTTAAACGACTTGGTAGATACTGGACACTCGATAAAAACTGACCAAGCGTTCCCAGTTATTTACCACGTTCCTGGTAATCTATCTAGAGGAGCGCAACAACGTCTTCTATCAGTAGCTGAAGCGGTTGCACTCAATGCATGACAAAATTAGTAGTAGTTCTGTTTTGCATCTTATTTGTATATCTATTCAAATTAAAATGAATTACAAGCATGTTATACTGCTAGATAGATTTCATAGGATTCGAACTTTTATTTGCCTAAGTTTAGCAGCATATTTCTGAAAGCTGTACCGCATTCTGGTATAATGTACTTACAGAAGTAACATTTCATGACAGTTTGTTTTTAATGTTTCGGTGAAGCTGCTAATTAGCCACGCGAGTCTTCATAGTGTGGATACAGTATACATACATGTAAATTGTTCTTAGGATAAAAACATTTGTCATACGACATATTTTTTTAGTGTTGTGGTGTAAACTTTAGGCATTATATACTATACATTTCAGAAAGTAATTATTATCTAAGAAAACAGTAAATTTTTTGGTTAGTAACTGTTCGATAACAGATGAAAGCGAGTAGACTATCATTTGTTGCTCAAACAATAAAGCAAAGATTTTAAATGACCACAACCTTGACTTGTGAAGCGTTATATTTTCCATGCTAGTGCAGACTTAAATTATCATTTCTTTCAGGCCATTTAGTAAATACTGTTTGCTAACAGTGTTAGGTTAATACTCAACAGCAATTATAATATTCAGATCATATTTACTATGGAGATGAAGTGAAAACCAGTATTTATCACGTCAGATGAAGGTATCTTTCTGATATGGAATTGGTACCAAGGTGCCTACTCTGATCCACATTTTGCCTGACATTCTTCGTTATCCAAAAATTCATTTTCATTGTCCAGACAACCGCCATATTTAAATTTTTCACATTTTCCTGAAGTCGAATTATAGAAGAAACGGTCTAAATAGCCACGACATGTGCCTGGATCAGGGATCAGTTTGCAGTCACCTGAAAGGATTCAAATATTTACAAAGCATTATATTAGTGTAATATAGTATGAAGCAATACACAACTAGAGGGTGCGCACATAGTTAGGCAAACAGTAATGGGAAACTGTCAATTTCACACCCCCAATACTTGTGTTATTTATTCTATTAAAACCTATAACTGATGCATTTAGAACACGAATGATATTTCTAAATAAATTCACTACAGAAAAACGCATTCTGTTCGAGTAATGCATTCGAGTATTTCGTTGAATCTGAAAGAAAAGCACGTAGTCAGATTTAACTAGTTGAAATGCACATATCAAATGTGAAGTTCGTCAAGATTGCAGATTTCTCTAGCTGATAGTGACTAGTGTTCATTACTTTTATTGGTTGGTTGGTTGGTTGGTTATCTTCATCACCCTTGTCTTCTCTGTGTTCACTTGAAGTCCTATCTTTGCTTCCTGCCCTTTCGATCAACTTGTTGATCTTTTCCTTTAGATCTTCGAGTATGTGTAGCCTCTCTACTCTGAACGTGCTTCTTTGAGACACAGTCAAAAATCGACACTGCGTAAGTAGTTACTTTGAGAGAAACAAAAAGAAAAGCATATGTCAGATTCTTCAGACATGTACCAAACAGCTTTTGGTGTAAGAAACCGAATATTTTCAAACTCATCAGCTACCAGACACTCATCAGATATACAGCACACCAGGTGGACGCATCAGGAGCATTTCAAATAATTATCAGACAAAACAGTTCAAGTCATTTTCGGTTTGCTAAAACTATCACTATAAAGTGTCTGGAATCTAATCCATATGTTCAAAAGAAGTACTTTGTGAAAGTTCAATTACCCTGGTAATTCTAGTTTTACCACTTCGTTTTGCCTTCCTCCCCTCCTCCATTTCTCACCTGACTTTCATATTAGACTTCATTTTTGATCATTTGAATTCTATTCACTGTATTACATAATCATCTTCTCATTCGAAGTTGTACACACCAAATTTTAATTTTCTGATCTTAGGAATTCTAAGCATTGTATTTTACTGTCTCTGGTTGGGCAGTTATCACTGACTTATCACCATCCTAATAGCGCAACTGTTACTTATTACGAGAAGCTTCATTCTTATAAAATAATTTAAGATAATCCTATTGCCCTTATGTTTTACTTCACTATGGCTCTCTTACAACAATCCTTATTGAAAGAAGGATTTACGACGAATAAAGAAATGTGTGTTAAAACTGTATTATAACTTTTCTTAATAAATATTATGGGTTGTACATAGATAACAAGAACTAGCGAAATAAAATGGATCCGTATAATTCTGTACCAATGTCTGTTCTATCTCTATTCAAATTTGTAAAGGGGGATTCATCTTTGGTTAGCATCTCGTCACTAAGCTAGACATTGCCAACTCGGACAGTATCTTAGTCTAGTTTCTCACTCAGAAATCAGTCATCATCTCAACTCTTCTAACCAATGAATATATTTCATGTTTCCTCCCAGAATGCACAAACAACACCTTAAATTTCTAGAGGCACCTTCAGAAGGTAATATATCAAACCCCGTTGCCTTTGAGTAGACATACCTTTTATTTCTCACTTTATTTGTATCATTTCATCAGTTAAATGTTAAGTGGATAGTTACACTCACCCCTTATTTCATCTTCCATTTTAATTCTCCTCTTTTAATTTTAGATTTCAAACAAAACCTGTACCACTATTGCGAGTTAAACCAAAGGATGAAATAATCTTTGTTTGTGCACAAGAATCACTTTATATATTATGGGTAAGTTTATTGTATTACTAAGACTTTCTTTCCTCTTATTTTGTCCTTCACGTTCCCCAGTGGAACATAGGGCTCCAAGCTATTGGCTTGAAGATTTCGTAGCAGTGTTGATTTTTTACAGGATGGGGTTGCTAGCCTCATGCCCAACCTTTCCTCCTTACCAGTCTCACTACTGGCTTAGCGAGGCAAAGGTGTGCGCCGGCCGGGGCTCGAACCCCGGACCATGTGCATGGTCGGCGAGAGTCTTAACCACTGTGCCACCGACGCACTTCTTTCCTCTAATAATATGGTAATTGGTACTTGTATACAGTCGAAGAAAGATGAGGTTTAAATGTCGTGAGAAGAATGAATTCACATAGAAAACCTCATTTTTCTCCGCGCATAATGAATAAATTTGGAAGACAGATATTGGGGGGACTAGGTCAGAAGGGATTCTTAGACTTAGTTTGATCTGTGACTCTTAAAAAACTTATATTCCCTTCATGTATTGAGATCTGATTCATACAGTGCTAAAGTCGCTGTCGTCGCCTCTAAGTTATTCGGATCATGAGTGGCTTTCCTTAGAATGAACAGGTGCAGACATAAGCTTTTTAACTGTTGTATTTTTCGTTATGATGAAAAGGATTTTTTGCCTCATAGGATCAGTTTAATACGATCATTCTTGATGAGGTTGTTTACTCACTGGATAGACCTTTGATATCATTTTAAAACGCATAGCCTGTAGACATGTGTTAGTCCTTCTTTGTCCAGCATTATTTTGTGAATGCCAATGCTGAGAATCATCGGGGTTCAAACCTAGGACCACCTGGTTACAAGGTGATCTCGTAGACCATTAAGCCACTGGGATTCGATCTAATGGCCAGCTCATGAATTCTAACCTCTGCCTATTTATGACATAGCGCAACTTCTTCGCAATGTCTCCGATGATTAACTGTCTTCACCTTCAACCTGCTGTACCCTACTGGTCACGACTTCCCACTAGAATCCCAGGTAACTGCCTGAATTTAGAATTCATGAACGACTGGAATGGGTTCCAGTGGCTTAATGGTCTACGAGGTCACCTTGCAACCAGAAGATCCTGGGTTCGAAACCTGGCTGTGAGTGCGTACAGATGAAGAGTCCCAAACTAGTGTGACAAAACAGCTGTCTGGTACTCCCAGGTTTTCCAGTGGTTCTCTAAACGATGTCAGCTCATGATGAAATCCTTAAGCCAGTCAAACAAAATCCTTACATAACAATACTTGATAAAACTAATTTTGTATGATGAAAACTGACCCACTATAGTTCATCACAGTATCATTGATTTGGGCATGCATCATACATTTAAGGTGTTGCATTTCTTTAGCACAGTTAACACAAATGAAAATTTATTTATTCCATGGATCTTATGTTGGCGATTTTAGATAATCTACTGAGAAAATAATTAAGCTTGAGACACAAGCCTGATCTGTAGCAGGATTTCGTCTGTCGCTGAACAATAGTTCTGTCCTCTGTGATGTAAAGCTGTTGATGTAAATAATACAAAAAAGATATTAGACATATGAAAGGCAACTTGTAGCACCATTAGAGAGTCTTATAGATTTCAATTTTGTTTTGTCTTTGAAGACGGAAATCTGCAACATAAAACCAATGGATTCTTTGACAGTAATGATTAATCCTTTTGTTCCAGTTCAATACTCTTTAGAAATATTATTTAGCAAAGAAAATATGGGACTGCTGAGAGAATCTTCAGCAGGACATGATCCTTTCTTACATATTTTAGTAGTTCTCCTAGTCATTTTTCTATTAGGTTGATATGGAAACTTAGACATATTCAGAATTCGGTGAAGCAGTATGCCGGTTCTGTGTACATTTTAGGTAAACTGTATTATCAAGCATATTGGTCAGATGCGTTCATTAAAATCCTGAATGGTCAGATAATCACCTGGAGAACTTTCATAACAATGTTGCATTCATCGTTACATTTAACCAAAAAGACCTATTTTAAAATTTCTAGTGAAAGAATTTATGAAGTACAGAAAAACTCATCACTGATTTACTGCTGACAAGTGAAAAGAAGAACCTGTTTACATGTCAACGGACTATAATGTCGAAGTTTTATTACTCATCAACAAAATACTAATAATTAGAGTGAATTTCGAATTACATCCATCTGGAAATGATATCAGCGCACGATTTAAAAAATTGTCTGTTGAAGTTTGAAAAAGAAAAAATGGAGTTATTCTGTTGGTGTTTAGATGATACCTTTATAATTTATGGCAGTGTCTCTCAAGTGGTTCGTCTCTGCGCATCTTCAACTGTGCTCATCTGGAAAGCCATTTCGCCAACAAAAGGGAATACAACATATCTTTACACTTTTTGTCTTCCTATTAAAGAGAAAAAGTATATTTTCGACCATCAGTTTTCATAGACACACTTCCCCAACTGTGAGCCTTTGAAGTACAAGACTTAGCATCATTGATATAAGAATAGAACTTGTACACTATGATAGAGTATAACTCCATTCTGGGTAACATTTATTTTGATAAAGTCTCACCGTGTTATACAATAATATTTACTGATGACGACATTTCGAGCACAATTTATTGCTGCTCATAATCATATCAAGGTACTCGCACAGCTTTCTAATTCGGTTTATATAATTCCATTATTTTCCATGGCTTGATTTGATTGGGAGTAGTATTTTCCATATTATCGGTAAGAGTGATGGGCCATTCCTACTGCATGTGTTGGTGTAAACTCGATGAACAAGGATTAAGTAATCAACCTCTCTCCACCTACCTAGATTACTTCTTAGAGTTTTAACTCTCTCCCACCCACCCACCCTATTGTGTGGTTGTGTGTTAATGCATGTAGTGCAATCTCTGAGCTTTTTTCTAAATTACTTATCTTCGTGGGGTGCATTTAGAGCGAGGTCAGTATGCTCTGTAAGGTATGGAGACAAAAGCTGCAAGTCATCCGGAGTATATTAAGTGGAAACAGATATTCTGACAAGCACATTGTATCTGCTCTTATGCCTTACTAGTTATCCGGGTTCAACTACAGATTTACAGACACTATGACTATTCCATACTGAACCACGCCAACTTAACTCTTCCTGTATATGCAGTTATTTAGAAAGCACAATTAAATAGGTCCTTCTTTGATATGTGAAACATCTTCCCTCCCGGTTTGGAATAGGCAAAACTGAACTCATATAACGTTTTACTGTAGCTCATGCAATAAACATACACTTTTAGTGTACCCAGATCAAGCTTAAATACAGTTGGTCTGTCTCTTCTTCGCATAAACGTATTCAAGAGAAGACATGCATGTAGTCTATATCTCTTGGCCCTTTCTAGAATTTACATCCCTTGCGTTCTAAGTGAAACACAGGGCTTCAAGCTTGAGATTTCATGTTTTAGTAGTATTCATGACGTTTTTACTCTGTTAGGTTGCTAATCTCACACAGAACCTTCTCTCTTTACCAGTTTTGTTATTGGCTAAGTGAGGTTCAGCAGTTTGCCAGCCGGGAATCGAAAACAGACCACGCCCGTCTTTAACGAGCATTTTACCACTTGACCACTAACGTTCTGCATCTTAGACTACACAGGATAACTTTTTAATGAGTACATTTCTGCTCTTATTTGTTTTTCTTCCATTTGGCTTTACTCTAATAACCTTAAAACATTTTGTTGAATTCCCCATATACCTAGATTGATAACTTAATGTCATCACGATTATCTTTAAGATTCCAAATGAAACATCTAAGTCTTACTGTCTTCTGCCTGGTTTATGCTATTTTTGTGTAAACTATTCCTCATACATATACTACAACCCTGAAATAAGTAATATGTTCTTCTTTATTACACAATTTGAATTAAATGTCAGACACTCTTTTTAGTAGTTGTTCTCCAATGTTCACTTTTTGCATAGAAATGCATAGTCATCCTATTTCTTTACAGACTGAAAGTGGTATGATGTTGAATACGTAATTGTATTTTTTCGCAAGAATTGAATTCTCCGTATATTAGGTTATCACTATATTCACAACAAATTCAATTTTATAGGCACAAAATCTTAGACAGAATTTATTGAAAAGACTTTACACAGGGGTATTCTTCAGGAGATATATATATTTCTTGTCGTCAACACCATTCAATCCTATAAATGGAGAGTTTTTCAACAGTGATAATTCGTCAATCAGACTGCTTATCATCTACTATCATCAGTCGACTAGGATCTTAGTCATCTATGTCTTCTTGTTAACTTCCAAATATAAACTCAAGAAATTCATATCAACAGTGAATAGTCACTTTCACTTGTTCTTCGGGTGTTCTAAGTTCAAGATAATATCTAATCTGAAGTTGTATGCCAATGAAATATCTTAAGAAGTGACTAACGGTACGTATTCCACGTAAACAGAAAAAGTTATTTCATTTTATTACATGGCTTTATCAGTAAGCCAACTGTCAACTGAGTCAATTTTGTACGTTTCTTTACAGAAAATTTCATGCTTATCGTAATTATATACTGATATGTAGACGAATAGACAACGGAGTGCTGTTTTATGGTTCCCTTCTCTCATGCCTATGCCTTTGGCCATGCATATATATATATATATCACCGTTTCCTCTTGTAAAGGGACTGCATATGATGCCCAAAATGTACTTTCCATCTCACATTGTTGTCTGTTCTTGCTTAAGTAGTGGGTGCTGAGGAACAGCTAGCTTTGCTATGCAGTGGTGGAGTAGCTAGCAATTGTGTGATCATCGAGTCCGTCTCCAGCTTGAATTCTCTATTTCAATCTCAAAGTTATTGTGAAATATATGTCTTTAGATATTTCCATGATTAATATTAGAACAAGACATAATATAAGACATATAACAGTATTGCTCTCAATTAGATCTTCTTCAGGTTTTACTCTAATTTACATAGATTTAAATTAAAAAATTTTAACCAATGACGGTGAGTTTGTGGATCAAATAATAATAATGTTGTTAGTGTTTTCAACATCATTAATAATAGTGATTATAATGATAGCAAAATATTGATAATAAGGTTTATGCAGGTGGCGATGAGAATAACAAAGGTAGTAATATGTGTGTATGTAGACAATTCAATAAATAAATTAGGTCAAATCTCAAGAGTTATGTAATACTAAAGGTGAAGTAAACAGATAGTTAGAGTTTAAATAAATATCCTTAAAACACGAAGGAAATGAAAATAAGAAAGGGTGAGTAGGTTTTCATTAGGCTTTACCTAGGCAAACAAGGGAGACACAAAGGTAGAACAAACTTCTTTTGTCGTATGCAAAGACACTAGGATTGTTCTCTAGAATTAATTCCCATAGCTTTGGCTATGTGTAAAAGACGAATTCGAATTCCGTTCGAAAGGTGGTTCGATGGAATGCGATAGATAACTTTGAAGGCACTTCTTTTGTCCACTTGGTGACTGCTATCAATCAAACCAGTCAAAATACAACTTTTTATAGATTTTGTTTGGCCTTTCTGGAACTATGAAGGAAGATGTCCATTGCTACTGACGTTCGAATCATTCACCACAGTATTATTATTATTATTACTTGATCCACAAACGTCATCGATTAAAATTTTTATATATAAATGTATGTAAATTAGAGTAGATCCTGAAGAAGATCTAATTGGAAATAATATTGTTCACTTATGTGTCTTGTTCTAATATAAAAAACGTGTCACCATTTTTTATTCCTTTACGTTCCCAGTGGAACATAGTGCGGCTTCAAGCTACAGGCTTGAAGTTTTGGTAGCAGTGGTGTTAATTTTTACGGGATGGGATTGTCAGTCTCACGACCAACCTTTCCTCTTTACCAGCTCTAATACTGGCTTAGCGAGGTGTCACTGTGGCATATATTTATTCCCAAATAGAGTTGAAACATCTCTTTATGAATAACTGCTGTTAATATTACTTAAGGTCGTTATTATTTAACAAATAAATTTTAGCTTAATACAATGGTAATTCATATTCAGTAAAAAGTTTGAGTATTGTCGACTTGAATATTCGACTTTCAACCAGTGAATCCCAGTTTCGAGTCCCGTTCCAACTGCAACCTGGGCGATTAGACAGTATCGGCAGCCTCTTCTCAATAGATGCAGCTCATAGCAGATGAAGAGCCTTTTCCAGGTAGATAACTGCCAATCATCTAACCTCTAGACTGCCAAGCAAACCACTGTTAAATGAAGTTCTATTTCGACTCTGGTATTTTTTTCATCTTAAATCATGACACCGTTAAAATGAATCGAATTAGTGGATGGTGACTAGCAGTGGAATCCAGGATGCGCATTTCGTCCTATTTGGGACTCGTCATCTGGGTGTACCTGAATTTCTGATTGAGTGATGGTGTTCTCACTGAACCCAGTATTCATAGTTTCAAACGCCAAAGCGTTATCCACTAGTCCCCTTGGGCGACGACACCCACCTCTTGTGCAACGGGTCATATTAATTTTAACTAAATTTTAGATTTTCCCGTAGACTGATTGGACCAAAGTGCTAGGTCTCAGATTGACATGTCGGCTTCTTGTGCAGATGCTTCGACGATGTCTGGGCATTTAATTATAATTTAATTGGTGGATGTATAATGCTTTGGCGTTTGAAACTATGGACACTGCGTTCGAGCCTCAGTGGGGACACCATCACTCACTGGAAAATGCAGGTACATCCAGGTGACGAGTCCCAAATAGGACGAAATGCGCATCCTGGATTCCACTGCTAGTCACCATCCATCAAATAAATTATAATTAAATGCCCATACATCGTCGAAGCATGTGCACAAGAAGCCAACATGTCAACCTGAGATCGAGCACTTCGGACCAATCAATCGACGGGAAAATCTAAAATTCAATTAGAAGTTAAAATGACTTGTTTAAATGTATTAATAACTTTCGCTATTTTCCAACATTTACAGACATATGAATATCAAGTATTTGAATCGTGTTCAATGTGGTTAAACGATAATTTGATGGTAAATCTTCTACTCAGATGTCCAGATAAATCAAGTCGAAGGATAAAAATGCGAGACGTTTCAAATATACGACAAAAGAAACTATCTAATCTTACAGATCAAAAGACAGCAATGAAATCATCTTCACAGAATTTATCCATTAAAAACTTTTCTCGTTATCATTCACCTATCAATAATAAACATAATGCTACAGATATGATGGAATATTTGACTAATAGATCTAGTAAATTAATCAATAAACGATCATTGTTACCAATACAACCAGTAATACCAAACTCTCAGTTAATTGATCGTAAAAAGTATCCTTCACAGTTTACTTTGTTAGTAGAAGAATTTGCTTGGGCCAATGGGAATCCAAGTTTTCCTGTTAATCGTCCAGTTTATTTCCTTGGTAAGTATGCACATTTCTTTAAAATATTTATGTTATATTTAATATGAAGTCATTGAATATGTTTCTTCACTGGAGTTAAGAAGTCTTTGTTTGCAGCGGAAACTATGTATGTATATGTGTACATATGTATAAATGTGCGTTGGTGGCACAGTAGTTAGGATTCTTGCTGACCATGCACATGGTTCGGGGTTCTATCCCCTGCCGACGCACAACTGATATCAATGGTCGGCCTGCGAAATTTGGGCTACCGATATCACATGCTGAAAATTTCATACTTGTACCAAAACTGCGGTGTGGAATCAAGCTGTAATCCAAAAAAATCAAAAATTAATAGGGGTCTGTAGGCAGGAAATTTAAGTTTAGTCTACATATAAAGATGAGTTATGACAATCATTAACTGTGATCATTGTACCGTACCCTAAAGTCTGGTTTTATCAACGCGGATTTTGATTAACACAACCGCTGTCTACAACTCTTTGTCTGAATGCTATTTTCAGTGCTTTTCTGAAGGAGGATAACTTCACATTAGCGACATTCAATGAGAGATACTCTCTATCGTGAACTAACAAAATTTGAAAATTATAAACCAATCGATTCCAATTTAGTGGCTAGATGACAGCATAATTAGCAAAGTACCTTCAGATCCTGGACACTGTCCATCAGATTATGACTGAACATAGATGAATTGTGTCTAAAACTTCTAGTGCTTTCAGATATAAATCAATTTACGGAATATAAAGACGTCCATTTCAACAGCCAATCAATCAAATATTGGCTTATTTTCAAGTGACATCACAAACCAGTCCCTGGAATGGGTTCCTAAAGCGAAGTGGTGAGTTAAGCATCTAAGGGTGAGATGGAATCGATCACGTGAAGGAGGAGTGAAAGCCTCTTGGCAATCCTGTAGTTAGTGTAAGGTGACAACAGACAACAGAGTATAATAGGGAAGCCAGGCAGAAGGAAAGGAATGAATATATCTAATAATAATAATAATAATAATTTAAGTCTGTCAGAATCTTTGATTATTAAAACAGACGTTGCTATCGGGAAACAGTCTAACGTATATATAATTATTTATCTGATACGAATCAATACGCAGATTTTTCTACGTTATCATTCATATTATAATTATTCCTTTGGACTCCAAGTGGAGAGTAGAGCTTCAGAAGCGCATCTGTATTTCATTCCGTTCTTTGGAAACCTTTTAGACTAGCTCAAAAGCTTTCGTTCCCTCCTTACACAATCTCCACTATTCCACTCCTAGACTCATGCTCAAGTAGTCGTTTCCTAATCGGGTTCCACTCGAGGGACTGGAGAGAGATATCAGCCTGTTGGAAATGCTTTTCATGATGCGGAGTCTAGTCTCTGAAACATATACAAGAACTCACTGACTTGACATTACTGGTGAAAATCCTGGCGTTATCCTTTACGCTTAGTGCAGTAGATTTCCACACTGACTGTAGAGTGATGAATGTCTTGCCTTTCCAATCCTGTATGGCTTTGAAATCCTCATTCGTGTTCCACCCGTAGTTAGAATGATGCTGCCTAGATAAGTGGACAAAGTGACCTTGCTCAAATTGTCCTCCTGCTGACTATGATTGATGCTTGTTAGGATTGTTGGTCAGTTATCTTCATCACCTCTATCTTCTCTATGCTCACCTAAAATGCTGTCTTTGCTGCCTGCCTTTTCTGCCAATTTGTCGGTTTTCACCTGTAGACCTTCGCATTTATATGACATTAGACATTAAATCTAACCTATACACTTTCTCTCAATCTATTGTACACGTGTAATATCATGCTACTTATAGAAAAGCGGGTATATTGTAAACTAGTTTTGTATATATGTATGTATAAATAACATTTCTTTTTCATATATTTTCATCTTGTTAAATGTTGACCTACATAGGTCGTTGTTTTGAATATGATGGATTGACCTAAATTAATAAATTAATGTGCAGAGTTATCTTCCATCATTATCCCTTGTTTGGTCCACTGTCAACCCCCCCACCACCACCACCAACACCACCACCATAACATCTGCCAAATAATCTAGAAACTTCCCTCTATCTTTCTCTCTCTCTCTCTCTCACCATCTCACTTATTTATGAACATCTTTTCAATATACAATATACAGCCAGCAATTCCTCATATTTATAGCATTAAGCATTTTGTTCAGCTTGTCTTGTTATTCAAAAGTCTTATGTTTTAAGACAGAAAATTAATTAAACTATTGAACATTGAATATAAATTGGTGGGTATATTGAAACAGTTGAATAATTCACACTTTAGGCATATTCCAGCAGTCAACAGTAAACAAAATAAAAATAAAAGAAATAAGTCAACTAGAGTTAGATAAAAAAAAGTATATGATTCATAAAATATGACTGAACAGACACTTTATCGACATATGAAGGCTAGATAATATTATTGATTAGTTTAAGTACCTGATGAGCAGTTCAAATTATAAACATAAACAAGATTAACTCAACGAAAGTCAAAAAAGAATCAAAGACCTACCACTGAAGTTGAATATTGTAGAAAGGCGAATAAATCTACCGAAAAAAAAACACAACAACGAAGCGTGAAAAATAACAACAACTAAAATTGAAGGTTAAACAAACAACAAAAATGTAAATTTTAAAAGCAAGATGAAAAAGGCCAAGGGAGACAGAAAACAGGAACATGAAAAAGTACAAAACAAAACACAGCGTAAACAAATAAAACTGAAAGGCCAATAAACAAAACAAAAGTCACCAAACCACTGTCAAAATGACTGGAATAATCCCACGGGAAAACTCGCTAAAAAAATACCTCAATATACATTCCAAATTACCATCAACGAATAGTGCAAATAAGAGAAAGACTGGGAAATAAGACATCCATAAAATGCAGTGACGAAATTCTACAGTAAAAAACAAACACTAAAAAAGATTACAGACCAAAAACACCCATTAAACTGGTGCAAAACGCACACAAACAAAGAAGAGAGATAAGAAATACAGCCGAAATCAAAAATAAAACCGATGACAGGAACACATGGAGAAAGCGTATACCAAGGAAATATATGCGAAAAACAAAATAATATAAAAAAGAGAGCAAAGGAAGAATAACAGAAACAAAAGAGGATATAAAAACAGAAAAAAGTCCAAAAAACAGAAGAATAAAGGCAAAGTAAACTAAATTGGAAACAGCACAAGCACGAGAACCAATTAAAAAAAACAGACAAAAAATCAAAAAAAAACAAAACAAATAAAATAAAAATTTAAATAACCGACTAAATCCGTTACAAGTAAAACACAGAAAGATTCGACCGCGGTGAAATCCGCGCTGATGTCAGTGTCGGGAGAGTCCATGTGATCAGCGGGTGTAGTGATAGTGGTATTTGTTGACTGATGAGGGGATGAATGTTTGGGCTGGCCAGTGGACAGATGGCATGGTTGGTCAAAGTCTCGACCCCGACGGGACTCGAACCCGCAATCTTCTGATCCGAAGTCAGATGCCTTATCCATTAGGCCACGGAGCCCGTGGAGTGACTGGCCTCCTTCGACCCCACTCGGACAACACCAACCACAAACATCCACACTCACAACATCCACTCACACCACAATTCCCCCTCAAAACACCCAACACATCACCCAATTAGGCGCAAAATCAACACTACAGGCATAGAAACAAACCAACTGTCAACAACTCACTCTTCTCCCCTGATCTCCGTCTCTCTCACTCATACTCTCACTGTCACTCTCACTCTCACTCTCTCAATCCTCTCCCTCACTCCCTCCCTGCCTCCATCCCTCCCTCTCTCACACTCTCTATCCCTCTGTTCCACTGCATCAATTACACTTTTTCACACTATCCCGCCGATCCACTCACATCAACTGATACACACCCACCACAAGGCACCGGAACACACCGACACTCGCGCTCTCCCACTCCATCCCCCAAACACACACACACACACACGGACGGACGGACGGACTGAGACGACTGACGGACGCGCGAACACTCTCACACAAACAAACGCTCCTCATCTCAACCACGATTGACAAACACACAAACGGACAGCGGACAAACAGGCAGTTACACGGACAGATCGACAATCAGACTGCCAATCACAAACAAACACACAAGCAATCAGCCAATTCACGAATACACTGCCACTCACACACCCAACAAACACACACACACACACAAACCTACACACTCATCCCCTCACCCACTCACTCAATCCATCAATCAATCAACCAAGCAACCAAACAACCAACCAACCAACCAACCAGCCAGTCAATCAATCAATCAATCACCCACTGACACTTTAAGAAACTCAGGCTTCAATGACACTGCACACAAACTCCACCGTCCTACTCATCTACCAGAGTGTCGATCACTGATCAGTCTCGTGTCGTCTGCATCATGCAATCAACTCATTCGCTCACACCAGTCGACTCAGTCGGCCGATTCACTCCTCCGAACCAACGAATGACGCGAAATGTCACAATCACCGTCATCCGAATGGGGACATGTGAATGACGATAATCACGATTACGGTGACAGTGACAGGGATGAGCTCGTCACACCGACAGACTGAAGTGTGACACGAGTATGATGGAGAGTTGTCAACGGACTCGTCACCATCATGTTTCAGCTCGAATGACCGTTTGGTTGTGTTTCGAGTGATACGCTGACGGTTTCGGTGGCGGTGAATTCCGCGCTGATGTCTGTGTCGGGAGAGTCCATGTGATCAGCGGGTGTAGTGATAGTGGTATTTGTTGACTGATGAGGGGATGAATGTTTGGGCTGGCCAGTGGACAGATGGCATGGTTGGTCAAAATCTCGACCCCGACGGGACTCGAACCCGCAATCTTCTGATCCGAAGTCAGATGCCTTATCCATTAGGCCACGGAGCCCGTGGAGTGACTGGCCTCCTTCAACCCCACTCGGACAACACCAACCACAAACATCCACACTCACAACATCCACTCACACCACAATTCCCCCTC